GGGGGGGGGTCAGGAATGAAAGGACCCTCATCTCTTCCTTTCTGTTATTTTCTAGATTACTGAAGTTGTGGGTGTCATTTGTTGTCGTTTTTATTGCAGACTTCTTTGGAGGACCTTGTGAAAGATTTGGTTGGTCAGACATCAGGATTCATGCCAAGAGATCTGCGAGCTTTAGTTGCTGATTCCGGTGCAAATCTAGTCCTTAGTCGTGGTAGTGAGGAAGTCGAGGTTGAGAATGGAAATCTGAAAGAGCTTTCTCATGAGAGCAAGCCAATCGAGAATAATGGCTCGCATGACTCGACAAAGTCCCTAAGCAAAGAAGATGTAATGAAATCACTGGAACGATCAAAGAAAAGAAATGCATCAGCACTGGGTACTCCAAAGGTAATTCGGGAAATGATTTTGTAAACAAAACTAATCTTATTATGCTTCTTTTGTGTTTGATTGGACTTGCTCAGCATTTTAAAGTTTTTTGCAAGAAAATGAAGTTTCAAAGTTTTTTTTTTAACTTTTTTTTTTTTTGGAGCAACAAAATTTGGTGAAAGTTCAGATCTTCTGTGCTCCATTATTGGACTCTAATGTGCTGACTGCTTATATTGGTTTGGTTCATCTTTTTTTGTATAGCATGGGATTGCAATGCAGACAGTCAATTATTGTATTGAAAAGTCTAATGCTGCTTGACAAAATTCTTATATATATGGTTTACACTAGTGTAGGTTCCAAATGTCAAATGGGAAGATGTCGGTGGTCTTGAAGATGTGAAGAAATCAATTTTGGACACTGTACAGGTATTCCATTGATTTACTCCCACATAACGCTTGTGAAAACTAAAGCGAATAAGCCTCCTTTTAAAGTTTATACTTATTACCCATGGTGCGTCGAATTAGAAGTTGTACTCTACTGGATTTAGTATTTTATTTCTGCTGTTTTTCAGATGATGTGACTTCCATTCTCTTCTTCCTTTGTAATGCAGCTGCCTCTTTTACACAAGGACTTGTTTTCGTCTGGATTGCGCAAGCGATCTGGTGTTCTTTTCTATGGCCCACCTGGTACAGGGAAAGTGAGTTTATGAGTTGCTTTATGCAGTGTCATATCATCTGTATTTTATTGTCCAGTCCTGTTCCTGGTCATCTATTCATTAACAACATTCTGTTGAAATGTTCAGACTTTACTGGCAAAAGCTGTTGCTACCGAATGCTCCCTGAATTTTCTCAGTGTGAAAGGGCCCGAGTTGATAAACATGTACATAGGAGAGTCAGAGAAAAATATTCGGGACATTTTTCAGAAGGTAAGCTATTTTTGCTTTTGCAAAGATGTTTTAAAAAAGGACGCTGCTTATTTAAAATTCTTCTTGAAAATTGCAGGCTAGATCAGCTCGACCATGTGTCATCTTCTTCGATGAGCTTGATTCTCTTGCTCCTGCCCGGGGTGCTTCTGGAGACTCCGGCGGTGTAATGGATCGAGTGGTTTCTCAGGTACACAATGCATTGGTTTGTTAGTCATATTTTCTTCTTTTCTCGACTAATATACTGCTTGTTATACTAAACCTCTGTCGTTTCTAGATGCTTGCAGAGATTGATGGCTTGAACGACTCTACCCAGGTTAGCTACTCCACTCAATCATTAACTACCTCTTTATTATCTTTTTGATAACCGAGAAATACCCGAGGGCTAGCTAGCGCACGGTTCGGAATATCATTGAAGAATTGGCGTTCCCCTCTACCCTTCTCCACTTAAATACTAGACTGCCGTCTGAATGATTCAAAGTCCTGACGTGCGCGGTGCGCCTAACCTACACATCGACGCAATGTGCTCTTATCACTATACCAAAGCCTTGGGGCTAGATTTTAGTTCTTTTTGTACTTGTCTTATTTGTAGATCTAATTCTTGGCCCCTCTTTTGTAACAGGACTTGTTTATTATTGGAGCTAGCAATAGGCCTGATCTTATTGATCCTGCCCTTTTGAGGCCAGGCCGATTTGATAAGCTCCTTTATGTTGGTGTGAATTCTGAAGCCTCTTATAGGGAGAGGTGAGCTCTCTTATATTCTGACCCTGTACTTGTCTTTGTATTTGATGTTTGATTTCTTGAATTTCAATGATCTGTAGGGTCCTTAAAGCGCTTACACGGAAGTTTAAATTGAAAGAAGATGTATCTCTACTCTCAATAGCAAAAAGGTGTCCTCCAAACTTCACAGGTGCTGACATGTATGCACTGTGCGCTGATGCTTGGTTTAATGCTGCGAAACGCAAGGTGTGTGTTTTCATCCCTTATTTCTAATTTCAAAATATACTTTTACCCTTTGTGTCAGTGCAGTTGGTACGAAGGGTAACCTAGCATTATCAGACAACCGATGGTATCTCAACTGATAAATATTACTCCGCCCCATTTGAATTTATTTGTTAGTTTCCTTTTTAGTCTGTTTCAAAAAGAATGCTTCTTTCTATATTTAGTATTAATTCCAACATTCTCATTTTACCCTTAATGAAACTTCATTATAGGAATGACATAGCATGTTTACGTGGCAAAATTCAAAGGGTATCTTTAGTATGTTATACACACTTTTAGTTTAAGATCTTCTTAAACTTTGTGCTTAGCCGAATTAAGCCACATAAAATGAAACGGAGAGGGTATATAGTCCTAGCTGCTTCCTAAAAGATATTTTGGTGTTTATGCTGTAGGTATTAGCTGCCAGTTCGGATTCAACTGGCTCAGATGATGTGGATGACTCGATCGTCGTGGAATATGATGATTTTTTAAAGGTAAGACAGCCACTAATGGAATGTTTTGGGGTTTCTCTATGGGTGGACAGAGGCCTTTTTTTTAAAGTTATTGGATTACATGATGGGGAATCGAACTCTCACCAACCTATATCCTATGCTACTGGTGAAATGCTTCACATATATATATGCTCCGTGTTGAAAATACTGTGTTCCGTTGAAGCGAGTAAACCATGCTACGTCTGCCTATATCCTATGCTACTGGTGAAATGATCATCTTTCTCTATTTTGAAGGTCTTGGGAGAGATCTCTCCCTCGCTGTCAATGGCCGAGCTTCAAAAGTATGAGTTGCTCCGTGAACAGTTTGAAGGATCATCAAGATGATAGAGAGGGGTTGCTCGCAATCTGCCTCCTACCGGCCCATAATCTTCTGCCCTTCTTTCTAAATGGGGATGGCCGATGCACCTCATCTTCTCATTTCGTTGTTGCTCATTCCTGTTAGGCTGAAGTATTCGGCCTTTCCACTCCGTGCCAGCTTGGGCTTCTTCCAACCGAGACTTCGAGTCACGCTAAAAGTAAGAAAGGAACCACTGTTGATCCTCCGGTCAATAGATTAAAAAAAAAGGAAAGGAAAAGGATAGTCAAGATAGATTACACTTGGTGGTGGCATTTTTCATTTTAGATGAGGGTGCAATCCACTTTCCATTTGAGTTATAGTTGAAATAATTGTCATTCTGCTTGAGTTAGTGGCAGTTAGTTCAGTTGCTTTTGGCTTGTGGAATTTGTCTAGAATAAACTTCCATCCATATTCACTTCAAAATCATGTTTTTGATTTAGCAATCAAGGGCTGTATATATTGTTATTCACTTCAGTCTTTTTGTATTTAATTAGAAATTTTACCGTTTGCACTCAATGAAAAAATGCATGACGTATGTCATTTAAAATTTTAAATAAACTTGTATCAACTTAACACCCCGCGCCCCCGAGATCACTCGACTTCGATCGGTCAATCTCCCCGGTGTAGCTTGAAAGAAGAAAGAGTCCAATTCATTTGAGATAGTCTTTCATTGATCTTTTCTACTCTCGCTCTATGAGGATGCGCGCCTATTCAGAATGTGCGAAGTAAAATAATTATTAATTAGAAAACTACATATATACAAACAGATAAATGTAATGATGATTGCTCAAATGCCGGCCTTCAGGAAAGGTATGTAAGGGATCACAAGGAGAATATTCAGTGTAATCATCTCCTTGAGAATTTCTAATATGGATAACTACAAACATTGAAAGACAAGATAAAATCTTGAAGAGACGTCGTTGAAACGAGATTTTTTCATCAAAGATAAATTTTACCCGTATTCCATTTATGTCAAATCAAGAAATAATCTTAGTAATTAAAATAAAAGTGAAAATATATAATACTATTTAACCATGGATAAGGGATAAATAAGCTAATGAAAGATAATATGTAACATTTATTTATTTGGTGTTAAAAATGGATGCATTTAAATATATACCTTTAATTTGTCATGACTCTCTAGCGTAAGTTCTTTGACTTAAACAAGACATTTATACTTTTGTTTGTGTGTAAGAGATCATTAAAATTTTAATAAATATTAATCCTGAAAAGGCTTAGCCATAATTGCTTAGCCATACTATAAAAGTTTAGGAGAGAGTGGTAGAGCTAAGGATGAGGAAGAGTGTGTCTGTTTCCGAGAACCAGTTTGGATTTATGCCGGGGCGTTCGACTACAGAAGTCATCCACCTAGTCAGGAGATTGATGGAGCAGTATAGGGAGAGAAAGAAGGACTTGCATATGGTGTTCATCAACTTAGAAAAGGCTTACGATAAAGTTCCGAGGGAGGTTTTGTGGAGATGTTTGGAGGCTAGAGGTGTACATGTTGCCTACGTTAGGTTGATTAAGGACATGTATGATGGAGTAAAGACCCGAGTGAGGACGGTGGTGGGGACTCAGACCATTTTTTGGGTATGATGGGGTTGCATCAAGGGTCGGCACTCAGCCATTTTTTGTTTGTTGTCGTGATAGACGTACTAACACACCACATCCAATGAGAGGCGAGATGATATTGTATTGATTAACGAGACGCGAGACGGTGTGAACGCGCAATTAGAGGTATGGAGGCAGACCCTGGAATCTAAAGGTTTCAAGTTGAACAGGACAAAGACAGAATACTTGGAGTGTAAGTTCAGTGGCGAGACTCAAGGAGGGGAACGGAAGGTGAGGCTGGACACACAAGTCATCCCTAGGAGAGGGAGTTTTAAGTACCTTGGGTCTATTATTCAGGGGGATGGGAAGATTGATGAAGATGTCACACATCGTATTGGGGCGGGATGGATGAAATGAAAACTCGCTTCCGGTGTTTTCTGTGACAAGAAGGTGCCACCGAAACTTAAAGGTAAGTTCTACAGAGTGGTGTCAGACCAACGATGTTGTATGGGGCTGAGTGTTGGCTAGTCAAGATCGCTCATGTCCAGAAGATGAAGGTAGCAGAGATGAGGATGTTGAGATGGATGTGCGGGCACACCAGGTTAGATAGGATCAGAAATGAGGTTATTCGCGACAAGGTGGGTGTGCCCCTATTGAGAACAAGATGCGGGAAGCGCAACTTAGGTGATTTGGTCATGTGAGGAAGAGGAGCACAAACGCATCGGTGAGGAGGTGTGAGAGGTTGACATTGGAGGGCCTACGGAGAGGTAGAGGTAGGCCAAAGAAGAGGTGGGGAGAGGTGATTAGGAAAGACATGGCGCAGCTTCAGCTGACCGAGGACATGACCCTTGATAGGAAGATATAGAAGTCGAGGATTAGGGTAGTAGAGTAGGTAGTCTAGAGTGTTCATAACAGTAGTATTGGCACGCAGTCTCACTTTCTGTTGGTAGTAGGTTTTTATAACTAACCGTTGTTTTCTTTCATTGTTGATCACCTTACTGTCTTGTTGTTTTTATTCTGCTTTAATATGACTTTTTGGTACTGTCTTTTCTTGTCTATATTTCATTAATGTGATGCTTATGCTTTCCTGAGTCGAGAGTCTATTGGAAGCAACCTCTCTATCCTCACAAGGTAGGGGTAAGGTCTGCGTACACACTACCCTCCCCAGACCCCACAGTGTGAGATATTACTGGGTATGTTGTTGTTGTATTAATCCTGAAGCTATAATTCAAAATACAGAGTATTCGGAATAAGAATTTCGAAAATTAAAAGTGTCAATTTTAAATCTTAAATCCATCTAACTTCTTCACCAATAGCACTGTTCTTTGACCTAAGTTGCCAAAAAAAAGGGGCTATTTTTCACATACTAAATCTAACTAGTGAAAGTGATTGGAAAATGAGAAGAATTGTACACTTACCAAAGATAAAATGAACTGTTTGACAGTTAGAAGGAAGCTAATGTCCAATTTTTTTACAGTTTAGGTTAAAAAAAAGAAACAAACCTTACAGTACAAAAACACACACTTTACAGTTAAGGGAAAAAAACTGTTTTTCCCTTTCTTCATTTAGAAAAAAAAAAACAGTTAACCGCACAAATACCAAAAAACAAAAAAAAGAAAGTAAAAGAAGGCTGTTATGTTATACACCAAAACCAGTTTCTCTTTCTTTCTTTCTTTCTTTCCTTCTTTCTCTTTCTTCTTTTTGAGTAAACTAAGATCCCACTAACAAATCCAAGTTCCTCAAATTACAGTTTTTTTGGTCCATTTATTTTTCTTTTTCTTTTGTGGGGGTTTTGGTGAATTTATTACTTTAGTGTTAAATTAAGGTCAATTTGGTTGGTAAAGTTTCAATTTTTTTCTGTTCTTTTGATTGATTCAGCAGAAAAAGTTGATCTTTTTTTATCTGGGTTTTTGCCCTGTTGTAATTGGGTGGAGGAATTTTTATTTTAAATTTTATGTTGGAGCTAAAATTCAGGGGATTTGGAGTTTGAAATTATTCTTCAAATTCCATCATTTTAAGTTTTTTATGTGGTTCAGGAGAAAGCTTTTGTTTTATTTTTTCTGAGTTCTTGTTGTTTCATGTTGTAATTTGGTAAATATTTATTTTGTTTTTTTGTAGATAAAGTAAGGGGCTTGAGGGTTTTGAATTTTCTTGAAATACCATGTTTTGTATGATTTTCATATAGTTCAGAAGAAAGTTTTGATTTTTCTTTTCTGGGTTTTTGTTGTTATATATTGTAATTTTGTGGGTATTTTAGTTTTTGTTTTTTTTTTGTAGAGGAAATAAGGGGCTTGAGGGTTTTGAATTTTCTTGAAATTTTAGTTTATTGAATGATTTATGTAGATGGAAGAAAGGGGTTAGTTTTAGAATTTGGTGTTAAAACAGAGATGAAGGAGACTAAGCTTGAAGAGGGAGATGCTTGTAATGATTCAACAGTTGACCCTGATATTGCACTCTCCTATATTGTATGTGTTTTGTCTTCCTTTTCCTTTTTTTTATTTACTTCTCCAAGATTACATTTTTGTTATTCAATAGTACATAGAGAAGGTTAGCCTTGGAGCAATGATAAAGTTGTTTCCGTATGACCTATAAGTCAGGTGTTCGAGCCGGGGAAGCAGCCACTATTGCTTGCGTTAGGTAGGCTGTCTGCAAGGGGGTGAGGCCCTTCCCGGACCCTGCGTTAACGCGGGATGCCTTGTGCACCAAGCTGCCCTTTTTTAAATAGTACACAGGGATATATGTCAGTAGGTACTTTTTGTTTTTATTTCGTGTAATGGTGGTTTAAGATGAGCTTAAATGGACTGGCATGGCTGTTGTTGTTGACACATTTTTTTAACCATCAAGATAATGACAGGTAACTCTAGTTAATAGTAATGAGGGGTAACCACCAATTTAATATATCTGGAAGTTAAGCATCCACTCTATGTCTAGGTATATTTTTGTGTTAAAGTCGATGGCATTTCTTCTATTCTTGCTATGTAACTTAACTATGGTGAGTAGGATGGAGGGCTAGTCACTAGTGAGCTCACAAAAGTTTACCTGCAGAATTGAATACCAGTTTCGTACGATATATTATGCGTTTTCCAGCGTCTCACATAACTGTTCTCTTATTCTTTCAAGGATGAGAAACTCCAAGATGTTTTGGGACATTTTCAAAAGGATTTTGAGGATGGAGTTTCATCTGAGAACTTGGGTATTACAATGGCACATTCTTAGAATCAGAAGTTTGCAGTTGTATGCTTGTTCCTTGAAATATGAATGACAATTAATTTGCATGTATTGACAGGGTCAAAATTTGGTGGATATGGTTCGTTTTTACCTACCTATCAGCGTTCACCTTCTTGGTCTTGTACACCGAGCAATATGCGCCCAGAGGTAGCTGCCTTCTAATGACGGCTGTGTTGTGTTACTATGCTTCATTGTATCAAACAAGTATTATTGCTTTACTCACATTGATTTCTACTTTGACTAAGCAATATGCATATCATCTTGTTATTGCAGGGTGGTCGGCGATCCTCAGTAGCATCATCATCCACTTCTCTGCCAGGAAGGCCCACAGCAGCTTCTGCCTATTCGGCAGTAGTACCTGCACCGAAGGCTCAAACAGCTAATGGGAAAACAAATTCAGCTATTCCACCTGCTCATGAAAACGTCTCCGCTTTGAAAAGTGAAATAGTCAAGAAGCCGACAAATCTATCAGACCAGAAAGCTCCCAAGTTGCATATCGGAGTTGGTATTGAAAATTTGTCAACCCAAAAGAAAGCTGAAATCTACAGCGGGCTCGGTCTTGATGCCTCTCCGTCATCATCGCCGGATGATAGCTCGATATATGGTGAGGGGTTGTCCCATGACCTTGGGGATTCCCGATATGAATCTCCGACAAGTATACTTCAGGTGAATGCTCTCACCCCTCTCCTAAAATCATCAAATTTGCTTTGTATCTCTTCCTTTTTGGCCAACTTGACCTTGGGTTCTCCCGTTTTTATTTCCCATCCATATATTGGGGCAGATTATGACCTCATATCCAATGCATGAAGGCCTACTATTATCACCGCTTTCGGATGATTTGATTTGCTTGACTGAAAAAGGGAGGTTCTGGGGGAAATGTGGATCTGAACGTATGATCAAGGAAAGCTTTGAAACTTCTGTTGCATTAGTAAATGGAACTCATTATGCAAAGAGGAAAGCTTCAGAAGCTGGGAAATGGAAATCTTACGATAAAGATGTTTTAGCAAATGGCTATGGCAATGACAATCAAAATCGTAGTGGTGTGCAATCAAAGGAGGAGGTTGATGTAGACGTTATCACCAGTGAAGAACTTGTTTCTAAGGCATTGAAGCTCCCTCTTATCGAAACTAAGTTTCACGGTGTTCAAAGCACAGAGGTCTTAAAAGAAGTTTCCATCGCTGATTCCATGGAATCTAAGAGTAAGAAAACCCCTTATAGAGACACTCGCTTGTCTGGAAGTGGTTCGGAGGACATGAAAAAGAACCATGCCGGAGATAGATACAGAGACTTCTTTGGGGACATGGAAGCTGATGACGACAATGATGAAACTGGTGTACATGAAATTCCTTCACCAGATTCTGATGCTGTCGGTAAGAAAAGTTTAGTTGAACATAACGGCTCGATAAAGGAAAGAGTTAATGTTAGAAAAACCGAGAAACCATGTTCATCTGGGGAGTATCCTATATCGGCTTCAAATGGATCAACTTCCCCTGATGCTTTGCGCGCCAGCCAAGAGAACCAGAATCTTGGTGTACAAGTTATCGAATCCAGTCGGACAAAAGGATATGGATCAAAAGCTTCGTCAAGTGGAACTAAACAAGATTGCTCACAATCTTCCGACCATGTCATAATGAACCACGAGGAGAAGAGGAGACGTAAAAACAAAGAGAAGAGAATTTTTCTTGACAACCATTCTGATGGAGGTATTCTCATCTTAAGTACTCAATTTTGGACTTGCTGAAATCGTGGAATTCTGGTATTTTTTCCTTTATTTTCTGTCTGGGATGTTTGACAGGTACAAAGAACGCAAAGATGAGGAACATGAGTGAGGAGGATTTAGATGTATCTGCTAAAAAAATTAAACGAGATGATGTCCATCGTGAATCAGGTACAAAAGTCAAAGCAAATACCATGGTTTCTGGTTATGCAACTCATCAAGATGCTGACATAAATGCAGATCGATTACGTCAAACTAGTCAATATGTTTGCAAGACGGAAAACTCAGATCAAGGATCTGATAAGGAGAGAAAGAATGACCATCAGTATCAGAACAGTGCGCCAGCCTCAAATGGTAGAAGAGGTTCCTCGTCACGGAATAAAGACAAGAATGGGGCTCCAAAATATGATTCTGACCAATGTATGACCAAAGATCGTGATATTTTAAGTTTATCTTCAGATCAAATGCCATTGGATGAGGAGAAAATGACACCAGGAAAAAACAAGTTTCAGGAGAAATCTGGGGTTAGTTCTGATAGATTAAAAAAGAGTTCCAAGAAGGATCCTTCTGGAAAATTATTGGACAAAAATGTTAAAGGAGACAATCAATCAAGAATTGTTCATCACGATGACGCACAGGTTGGATTGGATGTTACATCCTACCCAGATAAAAGGCACGCGCCAGTACCTGATCGAGATGATCATAGATCATCTAAGAAGCATGTTTCCAACAAAAGCGAGCAGATTGAAGTCTCTCCCAAGTCTCCATTAACAAGAGATCAGAATGAGACAGTTGTATTTAAAGAGCCGGTTCCTGGATCCGAAAGGGAAAATGGGGCAAATCTTGTTATAGTTGATGCTTTTGAAAGGGAAAGGTCAAATAATTCACGACAGGGTAAAAAAGCTAAAAGCCACCACGGAAAACTACCTAATAGTACTGCTCATAAGGTCAGGGATGTAGATGTTCCAAGCCCTGTTCGGAAGGATTCGTCGAGTCAAGCTGCTACAAATGCTATAAAAGAAGCCACAAACCTTAAACACCTGGCAGATCGCCTCAAGGTATAAAGAATTTACACGTATGTCCAAACAATATGGTTTACTGTTTGTTTCATTTTTTTTGTGTTGGCATAACTTTGCTATTTGTTCCAGAATTCTGGATCAAGTGAAAGCACGGGTATCTATTTCCAAGCAGCACTAAAGTTTCTCCATGGCGCCTCCTTACTAGAATTAGACAGCACTAAGCATGGTGAATTGAACCAGTCAAGGAGAATCTATAGCAGCACTGCGAAACTCTGCCAGTGAGTTCTCCTCTAAACTTGAACTTGGTTCATTCATTGAGACACGTGCAAAAAAACTGTTGCAAGCATGATAGTGTTGTGTTTATAAAGATTGTGGAGTAGGTATTACTTCCGTAACATGCCAAAGTGCCAAGGGTCTGAGATACATCTGCAAGCATTATTCGATGGACTCGTCATGTGCAGGGGCGAAGCTAGAAGCCCGGCTACGGGTTCGGCATAACCCAGTAACTTTTGCTCAAACAGTGTAAAAAGGGCAGCCCGGTGCACTAAGCTCCCACTATGCGCGGATCCGGGGAAGGGCCGAACCACAAGGGTTTATTGTACGCAGCCTTACCTTGCATTTCTGCAAGAGGCTGTTTCCACTGTGATCTCCTGATCACATGGAGGCTGTTTCCATGGCTTGCTCAAACAATGTATTTGCGTATGTACAAATATTAAATTTAGAATCCAGTTATCAGCACTTGAAATCGTTGTTCTAAAATCCAAAATCCATAAAGTAGAAATCTTGGCTCCGCCTCTGGTCATGTGAATCTCCCATTGAAGGATCAATCTGTCTCTCTTAGCGAATAACGTGCTTTTGAAATAACAAATTATGCATTTGAACTGCTATTCTTTTATAATTTTGAGTCTTTATTTTAGCTTAATGATTGAATTTCCAAAACTATAAAATTTGCCTTGACACTGTTTCCATTCTTTACATTTATTAAGGATCTAGGAATGGCTAAATATTTGGATTTTGTTAAAGCTACATAGCTGTAAAAATTGGTTGATATCTTGCTACTGTATCAGTAAATTTGTAAATGTTTGAATTTGTTAGAATATTCTGTTTCTTGTTGACCAAACAATTTTAGCAGTGGATATAACAATATAATTTCAATTAGCTCATAAAAATTTTGGAAGCAAATTTCTTCACCAGTATCATGTATTGTGAAAACTTTGTGACCTAATCTGTTCTTCCGAATATGATTAGTGCTTTTCAAATCCAATTTTTGAAGAGACGTCTGCACCCTGGGGGCAATGTTTATATCACTTTTGTACTCAATAGGAAAATCAAACTTCATTGGATACTTTTTCGCACATGTGGAGTGTACACGACTTATGGATAATCCATATAGTTTTCTGTATTTCAGAAATCGGTTGTTATAATGCTATGGCAAAACTTGAACTACCACGGAAATGTCAATAAGGATGTAAAGCTGATTGTTGGTCCTTCTTATGTTCATAGGTTTTGTGCTTATGAATATGAGAAAATGAAAGACATGGCTGCTGCTGCACTTGCTTATAAATGCATGGAAGTTGCATACATGCGAGTAATTTATTCTTCACAGTCCGATGCAAATCGATACAGAAATGAGTTACAAACAGCTCTACAAATTCTTCCTCCAGGTAACCTGCATTGAGATGTCTAGAAAATTCTACATTTATGGTATCAATATGGTGGTGCTTCTTTACGCCACTGATTTAACTTTTGATATAACTATCAATACGCTTTTTGATGGTTACTCACCAAGAGAACATGTCAAACGTTATCTTGTTTTACTCCTTAATCATCATGTGTTTGTATTGGCCAATGCATTTTTGCACTAATATCCTATTAGTCGGGGCAGTATTGGCATATGTCAAAATTAGTGATATCCACTGTTGATAAACAGGATTACTTACGGAGGGAAAGCATTAGTATAAATATGATTATGAGTACTGGAAATGTATAAACTAGTTGGAAGGTGTTACAGCTATATGTCTGATGATGATTAGCTGCTTTTGACTTTTCTTCTTAATGGTTATTACTTATCAGACTCACTACTATATAATAGGTGAGTCTCCTTTCTCTTCTGTCTCTGATGTTGACAATTTGAACAATCCAACAATGGTAGACAAGGCTGCATTGGCAAAAGTTGTTGGTTCTCCTCAAGTAGCTGGAACTCATGTTGTCTCAGCAAGAAATGGTTCTAGCTTCATGCGGCTAATCAACTTGGTAAGTCCATATATTTTAATAATAAACTACCACCCTAATTAAAGAAATATATGGTTATAACTAACACCATGATTAGTTAGAACAATTGCCTAAATAATGGTTAGGCAAATCAGTTAGTTGAACCTATGTTCATTAGGCTTCATAATCTTTCTTCCAAATGATTGAACTTTGTTTTTCTGTCCCCCTAAATATAAAGGACAGGAGAAAAGGCTTACTCCTGCATCGGCAGTGGCGGAGCCACACTTTGCCAAGGGGAGACAACTGAAACCCCTTCGCCGGAAAATTGCGTTGTGTAGATCGATCAAAATTTTCATTTTACGTATATATACTATATATTGAATCTCTTGGCTTCTCCGTATACTTCTTTATATATTTTGAATCCCCTTAGTGAAAATTCAGGCTCCGCCACTGTGCATCAGCAAGAACTTTTCAATATATCCGTTAAAGAACATAGGTTCTGAAATTTTGGTAGTTTGACACTGCAATGTTTTTTTATCTTTTTGGAATTTTTTTTTGGCATCTTAGAGTTTTGTTATTTTACAGGCACAGGAAGTTAATTTTGCAATGGAGGCATCCAGGAAATCACGTGGTGCTTATGCAGCTGTTAATCCAGGGCCTGGAGATTCACAATGTAAAGAGGGTGCATTATCCGTTAAGAGGGCTCTTGATTACAACTTCCAGGACGTGGACGGATTATTACGTCTTGTGCGTGTCGCCATGGAAGCTATCAGCCACTAGATTGCAAGCCGTTGCTGAACTCATGCCACTCCTTGCAACATACTTTTGTACCGCTCTCCATGTGCTGTCAGTCGAGAAGTCTAAGAGAGGATATCTTGGTTGGAATTGCGGGCGGAGTTTGCTATACAATCTCCCAAAGTTTTATCTTTTCAATGCTCTTGTAATCTGTACAGTAATAGCTTGTTGGTTTTGACTCAAGAGAAGATGCCGGGAGTATACTTTCAGGGAAGTGCAGAAGCATAATATTACCAGTATGTATCCGTCACATGGATTGTTTGGGTTTTCGATTAGAGGACGAGGAGTTGCTATTATATACCTTCTCCCTGTAAGTCGACTGTCCAAAAAATTCTATTAGCAAAAAGAGATAAACATTTGCCTAATATTTTCCTGGTTTTGGTTGCCAGCTCTACTTTTTGCAGATAGGGACGTCACAGGATGAGATATCCAGTTGTTACGAGCAGTTCCACATTTTCAATGGTTAGTACTCCCTTGCCACCATTTCTTCTTTCAGTGGAAGTTATTTCAAAAGGAAAGAAGTTATCATAAGTAACTTATGATTCTTCTTTATCTAGCTCCATATTGTCATCTTTTATTGTTCTCACTTATTGGATTTCATATTACAGGAAGTTAACTCCAACAGAAGCAGCGACAGCTACCTACCAAAGCCATTTGGTATTCTTTTGGCCACATTCTTTTTGGATGGATCTTTTTCTTAAATATGACCACAAGTACTAGAGAAACTAAGTTTTTTATGATACTGCAACTGGACGGACTAAAATGGAGCAACATGGAAGTGAGGATGCATAAGCAGACTCCAGCTTGCTTTGGATTGAGGCGTAGTAGTAGTAGTAGTAGTAGGTAAAAATCTTTTGACTTGTAAAAACTTGAGAAAATGTAGCATAAAAGTGGAATGAAGCGCTGAAGTGTTGTATAGAAGTGTTTGCACTACAAAGTATTTGTAACTATAAGGGCAATGTAAATACAAACAAAAGAGAATTAGATTTGCATTCCCTTTCTATTTATTTTATTCACAGTATGTATATTTTTCTTTGACAATATTTACTGTATGTATGTGTATGTGTATATGTATATAGGCTTCCCATAATCCTTTAGCGGATTCTCCCAAAAATGTTTCCATGTATTTATACATTGTCTCGTGGTCGTTATGTTGTTGAGATGTCTTTATATAGTCTGCTACTACTATTCCTTTCCATACATCTATTACTGAATTTCACATTTGTGGATCATGTGCTGCTACATTTAATATTTTTCCTATACTACCCCCCTTGTGATTTTATTGGTTCTTCTATTGGCATTCTTTTTCCTATTGGTTTAACGTGTTCTGTTTGTATTTCTGGATCTATTCTCCATACTCTTCTTCTTGGTACATTTCCCGTATTATGTGTACTTGACTCGTTCTTTGGAAAGGAGTCGAACTAGTTGACTCCATAAATTCTTTTTTACTTGTTATTGACTCGTCTTGACTTATTTGAGTTTTTGTGTCATTATCTTCTAATTCTCCTAGAATATCTTCAAATTGTGTTTGGATTTCTATTTGCTTTGCAGCAGTTGCTACTAATTCGGTCGTCTTTATTTCTATTTCTTTGGGTTTATCTGAAATAGTTTTAATCAATTTTTCTATTTCTTTTTTTAGTTGGTATTTTTCAAAGTTAAATTTATTATTTAAGAATTGTATTTTTCTTTCTAACTCGTTAATTTGTTCTTTGATAAAATCTAAATTGCTTTCTATTTTTTCTAACGTTTTTCTTTGTTTGTCTTGTATTTTTTCTGAGTCTTCTCTTAATTTTTCTAAAGCTTTAGTATAATCTTAAAATATTTCTCCAAAATTAATTATTAAATCTATTAGAGTATTATATTGTTTGTCTTTGCTATGTAGTATATGTTCTCCCTTATTAAAACTACACTTTATTATTGAATTATCTTTTAATGTTTTATTTTTCTTTTCTGTTTTAATTCTAAGATCCAAATATTCTAGTTTCTTTAGATTTTTTATGTTGTTAAGATTGTTTCTAATTTTCTTATTTCTTTTTCTTTTTGTATTTTTCTTTGTAATGTTAATTCTATTGTCCTTGTTGACGCTGCTATTGTTCTTAAATAGTTTATGCGTCTATTTAATTCTTCTAATTCTAATTTAGCGAATTCTATTTCAAATCTTACACTTCGCTTGAATTCTTGTGAATCTATAATTTTATTATTCCCAATGTATATTTACTTTTTCTTGTAATACCAAGTCCACTTCTAGGAGTCAACTAGTTCGACTCCTTTCCAAAGAACGAGTCAAGTACACACAGTAGACAATAATACATGTATATATATGGCCTTTTCTATTCTTTTCATTTTCCAAATATTTACTTTACATGTTACCATATATGGTCATGTTCATTTCTAGCTTGCCACCGGATAGATTAAGGGATTATTTGGTTCGCCGATAAAGTTACGCAGAAATTATAATACAAGAATTGTAATACAGGAATTACTAATCACTGGATTACAAAGTGTATATGTTTTTTTGGTCGATGTTTGGTTCGTTGCATTAAAAAAAAAAATTGTTAGCTGCTCCCAAAAATAATAGCGGATAAAATATAGTATATATAGTATATATATACTTATAATATACATATACAATACACTTTTTAGCTAGGGAATGTAATTAGTTTTGTCCGACCAGCCAATTTTGTATTTTGCCCTTAAAAACAGGATACACAATGTATAGTATAAATGTTTACAATTTTACCCTTCTTTTTAAAGTAAATAAAAGTTGAAACCCTGGAGATAAAACAGCAAAGCGATCAATTGCAAATGTTGGCATAACTGCAACAACCATAACATAAAATTTATACAAAGATACCTCACTTTTGACACAGATAGTAACAAAAGGGGGCTACATAGTGATACATATTGCAGAGACTGCAAGTATGAATCTTTATACTAACTTCTTAGAGAAAGTTGGTTATATCTAAAACTGCAAATTTCTCCTACTCATAGGCAAAGTACAATTATCAACCTGAAACTGCAAATAATTTGCCTTCTAGGACTAACGACTCGTTTTCGACCAAGAAGTAACAGTAGTTATTCAATGTAGTGGAAAGGGCAGTAAATGTCACAGCCATTGCATCATGTCATTGCTTTAGGCAATGTACTTGTACGTGTTCGTGTTCTCCAGGTCTCGTTCCAAGTAGTCTCGCGTAATAAGATCTTCAATCCGCTTTTTGATTGCTTTGACATCAGGCTACATATATAAGTAAAACAAAATATTATTTCAGGAAAGTATTGTTAGAATTATTGAAGACAATGCCCTTCGATTTGTCTATAAGCAAGCGAGTAAATGAAATGTCAACATGTACGTACTTATTTCGAATATCACGAACTAGAAGATATTTGTCTTGTATTCTATTATTGTTATTGTTTCCTTCGCTTTGTTTTCTTATTATTTTATTGTTGTTACTGCTTTTTTTCATCATTCCTTGAGCTGAGGGTCTATCAGAAACAACCTCTATACCTTCAAGGTAGGGGTAAGGTCTGCGTACACACTATCCTCCACAGACCCTATTTATGGGATTATACCGGGCTTTTGTTGTTGTTATTGTAGAACAGTAGAAGCTATTTGGATTTTGGGGCAAGGTAAAATGAAGACAAGTTTTGTAAACTGATGCTTCAATCTAGAAATCCAAATGGTTGAAAATTTGCTGCATACCTTAAACATTTTGCTCAACTGCTCAACACACTCCAAAATTAGCTGTTGATGAGTTAGAACTTTTTTGGCTTTCATTATACGCACAAGACATGCATCGATTGCATAACGTCTGTCCTTTCCGACTTCCTCAACCATTTTTTTCCTATCATCCACAGGAGGCAAAGGGATCTGGATGGTGCAAACAAATCATAATCTTAAGAATAAGTGCCAACTGTACCTTTACAAAGAAACATCATTAGGAAATAGGTGAAGTTGTAAACAGTATCTATACCCGAATCCTCCTCATTTTGTCAGTGAACTGGGAGTTGAACTCAAAATGATCAGTTGATGAAACGCTTTTGCTGCTCGGCTCCTTGTTAAGAATTTTATACTTGGCACATGACACGGACGCCAGCACTCTGACCAGGTCATCGTCGGCCAAGTTTAACTGAGTCTTGATGTCTGAGTAACTCCATCTATCAGAAGTATTAAACAGTAATAGCACAGCAGCCTGAAAAAATAGGGAGGTTATTAATCTAGAACCATATTTAGTCTCGAGCCAGGATATCGCAATGGAACTACTTGACAAATTGATCACCTGATAAGTTCCCAATGTTAGTTCAATAGTTTTCTGCTCAAACTTTCCGTTAAGGTTACATTGTCCCAACGAAAATATCCATGTCAATTTCCTGTGTTTCGTTTTTTTCGTGTAAAATTCCTTGAATGATTCCACGCCTTTTGCCTGAGACAAACGAAAGACAAAATGAAGAGCTCAGATCAGCAGAAAATTGTCGTATAACTTAACAAGAGAAGCACATTATACCATTTCCACAGGAAGATTCAGATCACAAGATTTATAACTAGGCCAGAATCCAGTTGTAAGAACAGTGACAGTCATATCGATTCCAGGATTCGCTGCAGGGTTGTTGCTGATATATTCCTGAAAATGGTTCTGATTTTCCTTCACCAATGACAAGTCTGTCACCTGTTTTTACATTTCCAACCACTCGACTTATAAGATATTTGAACGGACGGAAGAGGCAAAGCATTACAAGTCCATTACACTATTCTCACCATTCCCTCCATTTTGGATGTAAATTGTCCACCACATTGTTGCTTTAGCTTTGATAAGATAAGCCTTTCATGATCTTCATTGGCACTTCTATCAAAAAGCAGTCGGCGAGAAAGCTTCTTCCTATCAATCAATAAAGACAATTAACATACCGAATGGTGAATGTTGTAACAAGCAACTAAAATGATTATGCCAACCTGTAGAACTCAGCAAAAACATCTTTGTCACTGATGTATGTAACAAGCTTGACCACCTACATAAAATGTAAAAACATTTTGACGTTATTGTTAGAGCAGAAACACGGAGTTTGACCCCCACAATTGAAGACCGATGTCAAATTTGTGCTATACCTTATCCAATGTATCCTCAATAACATCGTCACTGAGTTCTTCGCTCCCACCTTTCTTAAGAGTATTATCACAATAATTAGCAAGGAGCTCTGCTGTTGAAGAACCGGCAACACTTTTGTTACAGAAGACCTCAAATGCTTCTTTCAGAGCCTATGAAAGTCGGAATTTATACATAAGCGAGTACGAGGAAGTTTTCGAGGAATGCATGAACAAGATGCTCGACTCCTTTTATGCACACTTTACTATATCATATTTAACTGTTTACATAACTATCTAAACGTCTCAAGTAATAGTGATAACGTCTCAAGCAGTAGCAGAACCAGAAATTTATATAAAGGGATTAAAAAAAAAATTAAGATGTCACAGCTGGGATTTAAATCTATGATCTAAAGCAACTTTCAAACCCCTTTCACTACAATACTTAAAAAATTTCATGTCAAGGGGGATTCAACAGCTCACATAACCAAAAAAAAAATCATTTTTACCCAATTTGCATAGTATAATTTTCCGATGAAGGGGGTTCAACCCCTTCATACTACTTATTTCCGCCACTGGTATCAAGTAATCAGAAAATAAGGGATCAGTGCGCAATGGTCAACAGCTAGAATACCTTGTGAAAGATAGAGTTATCGGCAAAACAGCCTTTCACAAACACCATATACTTGTCATGTAGCTCAAATGCCTTCTTAACAAAGTCCTGAGGAAATAGATGGATCCATCATTGAACCAACTAACAATTACATAAAATGGACCTTTAATCAAAATATAGACATGAGTGTTTTACCTGCTCCTGTGAACCGCCAGAATTTTCAGCCTGAAGAAGAACATGCACATCACCATTAATAAACTGCAATATTAGTAATTTACCGTGCAGAACAACATTCCTCGGCAAAATCACCTACAAATATATGTTCTTATTC